TACCGGAATAATCTTATATGCTTATGCCTTATCTATGCCGACGGCTGCAGCTGCAGTTTTCTCCTATTGTCCTCCTTTTTATGGATCTGATCGCTGGTCGCTGATTTGACCGCCGCACGAAGAAACGAAGGGTCGAAGGAAAGGGCCCAAGGGACAAGGGAGAAGAGGCGCTTCAATCGCTCGGTCTCGTCTCGATCGCTAGGTTTATTTTTCCTGACGGAATCTTGATCGCCGGGTCTGGATCGCTAGGAAGAAGCAGGCTGATGTACGTGTACGCAGTGCGCCGGTGTGCCAGGAGGCCCATGACAGCAGTAGTAGTCAGCAGCGCACGAGGAGGTCCACTACAGTTACGAAGCCTAGTAGAACTGCGAAAAAATTTGAGGCCCCAAAATCATGGGGGCCCTGTGTGCCGACACAGGTAGCACACCCATAGGACCGGGCTTGGTCCACGGACATGGATGCAGGAGCCGACCATCCAATGATACCCATATATAGGGATGGTAATTTTATCCATGGATCTGGATGCCAATGGATATCCGACCCGGTTAGGCAAGGGTATGGAGCGCATTTCTGCCCATGGGTCCATGATATGGATACCCACAAACAGCCAGGTTGGGCATGGTTGTAGTTTGTGCTCCACGGATATCCAATGGATACCCGTATGACATGTGGGGCCATATGCCAATAATAGTGAAAGAACGAATCAATGGGAAATGACATGCAATATGCAACTGGTGCCATAAGCTATATGATGCAGAATCAACCTCTGGTATGTCACACTTAAGGACTCATCATATTACTTGTTTCCTACTTATGCATGTAGCTTATATTGACACTTTGAGTGAATGATGATGAGTTAATTTGATCTTTGGGAATGCTTCATACTGACTTTTTTATGCCATGGAGCTCCATGGGTATATGGGTATCCAGCGGGTTTGGGCATGGGCATTGTGCCCATGGATAATTTGGTGGATGGGCAGAGGGTAGGAAGATGGACCATGGGTTGGATTTGGACCAGCTCCACCCGCCCCAAACACGACCCATTGCCATCCCTGCCCATATACATTCAGTTCCTCCTTCTAAAAAAAATACATTCGGTTCCATATTTTTTAAAGCCCGCACGCTCAATTACTCAATCCTTCCCATGGCGTTCTTCTTCACGATGAAGTAGTCATCAAAAGACCGGATGCCATGGTAGAGACGACCGAAGACATTTTTGCGCATCTAAAAGCGCCGATGAAAATTGTCAGCGAAAAGGGCATCAGGGGCAAAGTAATCGTCCATCGGTCACGCGCCCTGTTGCAGTTGAGCTTTTGATGACCCTTGATTGATCCCTTCAAATTGAGAATATGCTCTTCCGCACGCTCCACGTCTGCAAGTACTGTCTTTATCGTTGTCGTTTCATCTGTGTAGTCCCTTTCGTCGGACAAGCTATGTGATGACTAAATATAGTGCTCGTATATGTACTTCAGAACCATGTTGGGTGGCTAAATACATCCGGACCATGCAGTACTGACGTTGTCAGTGGTTCGAGGGTCGGTTTTAAAGTTTTTTTTTGGAAGGAGAGGGGAAAGATACCCTTAATGTCGGAACAAAGATGTACCCATAACCGGCTGTTCTAACTTCTGAGTCTCCTTGCAAAACGTTTCTTCAGTTCTTTACACAGGAGCAGTAGGCCAGTCCGAGCCATTTGACGTCACTTTATCACCTTCATTTTAGTTTTTTCTTTGAGAACAAACACCTTCATTTTAGTGCTTTGTCAGTCCACTAACAAACAGTAAAATGTTTTTTTTGGAAGAAAACAGTAGCCTTTTAGGGACACAGTTTTTTGAGCCCATCATCCTTTTTAAAGAGGAAAGTATCGTTTTCCCTCTTAAATCCTGTCTGATGGACCGATTTCCCCCCAAAGTCTAAAACCGGATCAATCAGCCCCTAAACTCTCTAAAACCGGATTAATTCTCCCCATGGTGGTTTTGCACCAGATTTAGGTGGTTTTGACTAGTCTCCTTGCTGACTGGACAGTGCTGACTTGGCAGATGCAACTTTCCCCAATTTTTAATTGCAATCCGCTCCCTCGCCGCGAAGCACTCTGTCGCCCCCTCGCCGCCCCATCGCCGTCCCCTCGCCGTCCCCTCGTCGCCCCCTCGCCGCCCCATCGTCGTCCCCGTCGCCTTGCTGCTCACTTCCTAGCCGCCATGCTCCGGTGCCCTCTGCCTCCGCCACACGCCCCATTCTTCCCCACGCGGCGCGTCTCCTTCTCCTGCTCGCCTGCTTCCCCGGCCAGCCGCTGCTTGCGCCATGGCCGCCGTGTGCGTATTACCCGCCGCTAAGCATCACCGTCGTCCCCGCGCCATGAGGCCAGGTCCGGCCACTCTGTCGTCATCCACTACACCGTCATCGAGGAGCAGAACGAGCTGGGCCGCACCAAGTCGAGCAGATCGACTTCACTTACCCGCTCCGACCGCCGGCGTTCGTCGTCGACTATGGCGAACCCCTACTGCTCCTAAGCTTTCGCAGAGCCTCCATGAGCTCTATATGTGAGCTTTGTTCGTTTTTCTTCTCCCTACTTCTCGACCCCCCTACTGCTGCTTGCTGTTGGTGTTGTTGTCGCTCCGGTCGTCGCCTCGCTCATCCACTGGACCTCACCACTGCCCGCACGCACACGCCGCTCCCTACAAGGCCCTACCGCAGCTTGGCCGTGGTCAGGCTTTCCTGGCCCCTGCGCGCCGTGCGAGCCCATCTCCACTTGGTCGCGCTCCTCACGAGCGCTCCCGTGCGTGGCCTCCCCACTCCCGCCGCTGCCACTGCCTGCTGCTGTTCCGGTCGGCGAGCCTCGCCGTGGCTGGCCTGGGCAGTGCCCACGGTCCAGCGAGCGCGTGCCCCGGTTCGCCGTGCCTCCCCTCCCCGTTGGCCCAGCCTGAGGACGGCGATGGGGCGAGGGGGCGGCGATGGGGCGGCGAGGGGACGGCGAGGGGACGGCGATGGGGCGGCGAGGGGACGGCGAGGGGACGGCGAGGGGGCGACAGAGTGCTTCGCGGCGAGGGAGCGGATTGCAATTAAAAATTGGGGAAAGTTGCATCTGCCAAATCAGCATTGTCCAGTCAGCAAGGAGACTAGTCAAAACCACCTAAATCTGGTGCAAAACCACCATGGGGGAGAATTGATCCGGTTTTGAAGAGTTTAGGGGCTGATTGATCCGGTTTTAGACTTTGGGGGAAAATCGGTCCATCAGACAGGATTTGAGGGGGAAAACGATACTTTCCTCTTTAGAATAAAGGGCGAGTAGGCCGGAAGCTACCGTTCTTGGGCAAATAAGTAGCCCAAGTCGCCCTGAATAATCACGGCCCACGAGCTCGTCGGAAGCCGAAGCAACAAGCGCCCAGCAGAATGGCCGAGCGTGGGCAAGGTCGGCGGCGGCCGCCGCCTCGTCCCCGCCGCAAACCAACTCGAATTTTTCTTCCGCCATGGAAGCACGGAGATGCCCCGGAGTGAATCTCGACGCAGCCAGTAAGGTCAGTCTTTCGATTAGCACTGCATGGATACGCAAGCACTTAATACGTAGATTTCTCTTGTTTGATTTCGGAGAGATGCATCGCACATTCGATCTTTATTACGAACTTGTTGCCGCCAATTTCCTTCCCCTAGCCGCGGACGCGCGCGCCTCTGGTGCAGCGCCATGGCCAACGGGAGTGCGCATCGTGTGTCAGGAGAGCTGGCTAGTTTTAGGAGTTTTGGAAGGGAGAAATCCGTGTACCCAGGCCCAACAGTGGGAAATTTCAACGGAGAAACCATGGAGCACCCGGTCAGATTCTAGTTATGTATCCTATTCGTCCCAAATTAATTGAAGTTCTAATTTTGTTCTAAGTTTTTTTTAAATATTCTAATTTGACAAATTTTACAATATCAGATTAATATCATTATATTCATCATGAATTATATTTCCGTACTATATAAATTTGATGTGCTATATATTAACGTATTTTTCTATGTAATTGATCGGACTTAAATAAGTTTGACTTATGACAAAGCTATAACTTCAATTAATTTGGAATGGAAGGAATGCTTAATAGATGCCAAAAGTGAGAACCGAACATAGCTTAGTTCGTTGATGGAGTAGTTGCATCTCAGCACCGGATAGGTTTGATGTCACCTCTGTCTCACCTCGAGGGATCATTAAATGTTGTATCTGTTAACTCAGTTGTGGTTTCATCAACATTGACCTTTTTCACTTGTGTGACTGTTTCATGTTGTGGCATATG